CTGATGATGATGCTGATTCTGATTATGATTCTGATTCTGATGATGATGATGATGACGATGATGATGATTCTGTTGATGGCGATGACGATGATGATGCTGCTGATGACGATGATGATGATGATGATGATGATGATGATGATGATGATGATGATGAGTATGATGAGTATGATGACTACAGAGGTTTGACTGGACTTCATGGCTACGGAGCCTTCTCCTCCCCCTCCTCACTGGCCGTCTCGGTTTTTTTCAGCCGCCAGATGTTTTGATCCGAGGGGTGTTTCGGAGCGGTCTCGGGGCTGCCCAGCGCCAGTCTGGCGCTGCCTTGGGGCCTCTGGCGGGGTGGTGTCTGATGGTGCCCCAGGCCCGCCTTTGGGCCTTCCGAAGGTCAGACATGTATACAGTCGGGGCGCTGAGGAAGGAACCCTTTTCGTTGGGGAGGGGCTCGGTGTTCCTTAGTTGTTTTGTAGTTCGCCTTTGGTTTTGCTTAGGGTTTCGATGGGGAATCGAAGTTAACTTATTGGAAAAAGGGGCCTCGTTCCTTATTCAGGGTTCCTTAGGTCAACGCCCCGACTGTAGAACCACGTGAGCCGGCTGCCTAGCTTTCTGTTCTTGGCCCTCAAGCTCAAACCTCCATTGTGGGGTCGTCGTGTGTCACGTCCTGACGGCGGCGCTGCGCAGCGGGCGATTGCGCTCGGCAGAGGCGGCAGAGACGTCGCGTCGCCGGCCGAGGGCCGTCTGGAAGCGAAGCCGTCGCCGTACAGGCAAGCCGCCTCCTGCTGCCGAGCCGAGCACGCCAGCGGCCGGGGGAATCACCACATACAAAACCATCCCAACCCAACCCGAAGGCCTCAATTTGCCCTCCATTTCCAGTGTGGGGGGGTCGGGGAACATCGAAAAAACACGTATGGAACCCATACCCCCCCCAACCCGAAATTCGGGTCTTCGGGTTGGGTTGGGGTGGTCTGGTAGGTAGTCAGGGAAGAGGGGCGGTCGCAGAAGCGCAGGGCGCGCGGTTCAACGATGATGCTCACTGGGAGGGGCGGCGGCAAGTGGAGGAGGGAACAGGGGGGTGCACGGGTGTCATCGTCGCCACCCCAGCATACTAATACTATGCGCGCGTCGCCCCCCCCAGGGGCGACGCGCGCACCGA